CTCAAAGCATCCTTCCATCTAAATGGATACACTGAAACTGTTTTCAGTCTTATGCTATCATATGTAATATATCAAAGTATTTCAGGAAGAGATTAGAAAATTTTCCTACCACTGTACCAGGCACTCACACAGCATTTACTGTGTATGATTAAGATTAACTCTGTTCGAAGAAGACATATTAAAATTTAACAGATGGGGAGAAGGGCAACTGTGACCATTTAGGGTATGAAGAACTTAAAGGCACGAAAACATCTGACAGGAAAATACAAGTCTCAACAAGAAAATGCCAAACACACAGCTGTAAACACCAACAGAGAGAAGGGCAATTCTGGCACAACTCCAAACGAGACTAAGTTGGTCAACCCCAAAATTTACAGAAGATATCTATCAGATGAGAAACCATCCGAAGAACCTCTCAGCAGTCAGAGCAGGCAGAAAGCAAACACCAGCTCAAGGCAGAGCATGCAGTTTGCAAAGCAGACTGTGAGAGAGCCGAGGACCCCAGACAATCTTCCACTTTTCTGATCATTTCACCTTTCTTTCTGCAACACATGAAAACCAAGCTGGATTTGTCTGAATCATTTTTCAGCAGCAAAGTTTTCCTGGGTTTTATTTCTGTAAGCTTTGTTCTGTGCTCTGTAATAATGTATTACTCACCCAGAACAGAACTGTATTCCCATCCCCCACTAAAACTTTTTTTTACAAATAAACAAGAAAAATAACTCAGTTCAAATGTACAAGAAAAAATATGGTAAGTTTAACAAAAGGGAAAAAAGGGGGCAATGGACATTTAAATTTAAGCAATATCTGAAGACCTGACTGAGTTGCATTAGAAAAATTGAGAAACATTGAATTTCAAAGCTGAGGATGTGCCGACTTCTTCTGGCATGTATGTGAAAAGCATTCTCTAGAGAAGAATTAAAATTCTCATTTATACATCACTCATATTACATCCAAATGATACCTGAAGTTACTGATCCACCTAAATGATCACTCATATCCAAAGCCCCAGGGAGAAAATGCAGCAGAGACTACTTGGATTTCAGGTGCTGTGTTCTGGTGTTGAGATAAAAAACAGTGAAAGAGGGATGTGACTCACTCCTGGATTTTTCAACATAATGAAAAATATCTCAACTGGTCAAACTATTTTGCTCTTAATTAGACAGTCCCAGCATTCTAGATATGGAAAACTGATGTGGAAATAGCCTGCCTGTGGAAGGCTGCACAGCATTTTCTTCTCAACATTTTGTATCTAGAGAAAGGATAAAAAAGCTCAAAGTAAGAACAATCTCTTTGGAAGCAGTAAATGAACAAAATTTTCAAGAGAAAAAGAGGAAAAATCACAAGGAATATCTGACTCCTGCTGCAATGTGTCATTTTCAGATCATCAGAATCCTAAGGTAACATTACCACCATGTTGCAGAAAGGTCCAGACAAGCACCCTGAAAATGCATCCCAGTGAACATTATCTGCAGCTATTACATTTTCCTGACAATGTACACTGCTCCACTGGGTCACCTTCAAACCACAGGCTCGTTGATGGCATCCACTATTTGCCACTCTTTATCTAGAAACACACCTGGAATAACACAATGAAAGCAGCAATCTGCTGCACAGACCAGGGCTGATTTAGCCAAGGAGGGCCTCATGAAACCTGAACTTGTCCTCTTCCCAGTTCAGGCCCCAGATCTGCTCCACTCAGCTCAGGGCTGGATGAGTTTTGTCTGTGGTTGTGACCTCAACACCTGTGACTCCTCAGTGTGTGAAGTTCATCCAACCACCCACAGGAATCCATTCCTGAAACACACGGGCCCTGCACTGATCATTTGATACAAGTGGAAAGCAATTTGTAGTGAACCATAAAGCCCTGGCTGGAACTTAAACTGCCCTTTAGCACCTGCTACTACTGCCCTTGCTGTTTCCCACACTGCTCACACACTGCACTTTCTTTATTCACAGTATTGCCAAAGTAGGAAAAATACCTAATCCCTCTTATTATGCTCACTCCTCGGGTGAAGAAATTATTATCAATGCTTTCTATTTCTCTATCTATGCTTTCAAAATACATACATGGTAAAAACACTTTTATGTTTAAGGAAGTTTCACCTCTGCTCCAATTTCTGCATCCTTTTCAGGCAGGATTTCCCTTATTTAGACAGCCAAAGACTTTTTTAAGTGCATTAAAAAAAGGGCTGTAAGGTTGCTTGTTCCTTTTTAAAGTGGGATTAATAAATTCAGCAGTAAAAGAAATAATCTCCATATCCTCTTCATCAAAGCAGGTCAGCAAGCTTCACTGCAAGACCAGCAACCGATTTCTATGAGACTGACTGAAATCTAGTTGATCAAATTGAAAAGAAACCATGCTTTCACAATAAAATGAGGTAACAACCACCATCAGCATTTGGGAGAGCAATTAGCTATTAATATATTTAAGGAATGCATTTGAGAATGATTTTCCAAAGTTTTGAAATAACAGATTTGTTTGCAATTTTTTCTTTTGAGGGTAAGAAGCTATTGGTTTTGAAAGTGCCTGTAACTATTCAGGCAAGCATCATCCCACCAACCTCACTTCAAACCAATGCTGAAGAAGGAGGTCCCTGCTGCAGGCCCAGTGAGCAGCACAGGGGGCAGGAGTGCCCATGGCAGGGACCTGCTGCAGGTACTGCAGCCACAGGCTCTGCTGCTCCCACTGCAGGTACTGCAGCCACAGGCTCTGCTGCTCCCACTGCAGGTACTGCAGCTCCAGGCTCTGCTGCTCCCACTGCAGGTACTGCAGCTCCAGGCTCTGCTGCTCCCACTGCAGGTACTGCAGCCACAGGCTCTGCTGCTCCCACTGCAGGTACTGCAGCTCCAGGCTCTGCTGCTCCCACTGCAGGTACTGCAGCTCCAGGCTCTGCTGCTCCCACTGCAGGTACTGCAGCTCCAGGCTCTGCTGCTCCCACTGCAGGTACTGCAGCTCCAGGCTCTGCTGCTCCCACTGCAGGTCCCTGCTGCAGGGCAGGGCAGCTGCAGGCTCTGCTGCTCCCACTGCAGCTCCAGGCTCTGCTGCTCCCACAGCCTGGGCACACAGGCACTGCACAAGCCAGGCACCTGCACTGCCACAGTTATTTGATCACCTTAGCCATAATTCCACCCCAAGTCAGGTTTATTTGGTAAACACAGGATTAAGAGTGTGGGAGAAAACCAGCAAATGTTTATGTTGTACGAAAAGCAAAACTTTGTGTCCAGCCTTCTCTTTTAAAAAGGCAGATGTCTCACTGGAAAAAGTCAGAGATGTTCAGCCTTCTGACTTCAAAGTTAGTTCTCATGTTCATGTCAGTGGTTCTACTACTTCTCCATATGCACCAGGCTCTTCTTTATGGTTATCTTCAGAGGCAGTCCAAGCAAAAGGTTTTTCTAACCCTTAAAAAACCCTCAGAATTTATAAAAATCTTCCTCTTTAACCTAGTAACAAGTTTGTGACACTTTAAAAAATGCTCTCTCTGGCCTGCAGGTGTGGATCCTGACCTTGCATGAGACAGGGCACAGCACAGTGTGTTCTGCCTCATCTGGAGCAGAGATGTGACTGCTGGTCTCACAAACCCATCACACTGCACCTCCAGGTCTCCTCCCCTGACTCCTGGGCACATGTTCAGCCCAAGCTAAATGAACTCGACTGAGCTGTGTTTACCCTTGAAGACAGACACACAGAACAGCCACACAGCTGCACAGGGCCCTTAACAGGGCACTGGCTCTCTGGGACAGGCAGGATCAGCAGACATGGACTGCAGTGTGCTCCAAGCAGTGCAGAAAGAATTCACATAGGGGAGCCCTCAACATGAGTTTAACAGTAGATGCACTTAAAACAGTCACAAAATTGACTTTGGACCAAAGCCTTAGAAGCAAACAGCAGAAATCAACTGGCTTTCCAGTGTTCAAAAGAACTAAATTCCCACAGAAAAGGGGGAACAAGAGACAAAGACAGTAGCTACTCATGAGACAGGGAGAGACATATGTCCACGGTTACAGAGCCTTGGCCAGGGCTGAAGTACAGCCACAATAATCTGGCCTGCCCACACACAGTCAGAATGCCACTGAACCAGAGTGGAAAAAATAGGTATTGACATCAGACACGTTACAGTGCAAAGGAGGAAAAATAGCTCAGCCCACATATAACATATCCATGCAACAAAGAACAATTTCCTTGAAATTCCTGTCAAAAGGCACGTTGCTCTATCATCTGTTCATACTTGAGATTCCAACAAACCAGACATGCTCTGGCCCATCTCTCTCCTTGGAAACAGGTCTCTGAGCCCAGCTGGCTGCCTCGTGTGGGCATGCTGGTCTGGCTGGCAGAACGTGAAACGTCCTGGCAAGCCTGCAACTCTCCCCAAGCCAACAAGTTCACTGAGAACTTCTACTGTTCTCAGTAAAAAGGAATGAGCTAACTATGACTTCCCTCTTTTATTTTATGCAATTTTAGTGTAAAGATAAGCTAGGGCAGTGTCCTAACAAAGCTGCCAAAAAAAGTAAAGGAGCCAATGCTGACTGACAGGTTGTAGTTGAGCTGCAAGAGATGCACTGTTTCTTCAAAAATCATTGGTGTAGTAACATAAGCATTTTCTATCCCAATGTATTCTTAAAAAGGGGAGGAGAATAAGTCTAAAGTTATTTTCTGGAATAGTTTATGGGAAACTCTAGGCAAGGGTCAACAGTGATATGTTTCTCCTAAATGGATATTGGTGTCCTTACTGCACTTCAGGAGAATGTTCAGAAAAGCAAAAAAAATAAACCATAAGACATTAGAAAGTCTAGAAAAGGAAAACAAAAGAAAAATATTAAAATATTTTAAATATATAAAAGAACAACTGTGATCTTGGCATTGCAGCATTTCTTTAAAAGGAATAGTCCAAACTATTGCACCAAAATGGTCCAATAGTTTAGGATTCAGAAGAGTCAGACAACTCCCTTGTAGATCAGCTCACAAACATCCAATTAATAAAAGAGGAGCACAGTCCTACCCTGGAGCACTGTGAAGACAAACACATTAATGACTGCAAGGCTCTCCAGTTCTCCACTGAGGGGTCCACTTCAGAAATAAGAAGCCAGACAGAATTAGTGAGTGCCAAGAGTGCACCATTAACAATGCCAGTTCCAAGCAGCCTGTTGACTTCTCTAAAGCATCTGTCCTGTAGCAAACCATAATAAGAGAAGTACAAGCCACAAAGGATTTCATTATAATTTTTTACTTTAAGACAAATAGATGGAAAAATTCTCCAGAGCCTCATCACCAATTGTGCAAAGTAACTTCATAAAACCCTGTACAAAACATGGCATTGCAGCTGATCTGGCTCAATTCCTTTCTGAACAAACCCAGTCTTTCTGTAAGTCACCAGTTCCTTACAGAAGATACTCTCTGGTTTCCATGAGCAAGCTGCACAGGGCACAGAAGGTGCACACACAGTGACAGATTAAACAGAGGACAGCACAGTGCAGGGATGCACAAGCTCAGTCCACTGACTGCCTCTGCCCCTACCCTGCCTTGTCCCAGCACCCCCATCCCCTTCCTCCCCCATCCAAAAATCTGAGCTAGCCCTCTGGGAAACAAAGGCCAAGCTACAACTCTTCCTTCAGTGCCACTCTTTGACCTACAGCTCCACAGGGCTGGGTTCAGCAGGGCTGGGTGCTGTTCTGGACAACAAGGGGCTCCTTTTGCTTCCAGCTGATCTGAACACCTCTGTCCTGGGGAGGAGAGAGCTGGACAGCAGCAGTCCAGCAACAACAAAAGGGAAGAAGAAGGGGCTGCCCAGACAGAGTGATGCAGAGGAAAAGGGGGTGCATGTCGAGGAGAGCTGGAGGTGCACTGCAGAACAAACAGAGAGGCACAAGTCTGGGTGAACTCCACTCAAAGCCAGACTTCATTTGAGCATTTATGGTTCACCAAGTATATTTTCACAGTCTCCCTCTCTCTGTATTACACAAGACCACTGGGCACATTACACTTCTTGCTTCGCATTTACCCCAAGTAATTTTAAACCACATCACAGTTCACAGTCTGCAACGAGAGCAGGTGTCACAGAGCTGCTCTGGGTGAAAAAAACTGATCTGGCAACAGCCCAAAACTGCCAGCCAATGCAGAGCAGCAAGGTGGTGAGAGGCTGGCAAAACCAAATGAAACAGCTGTAATTGCATTCCTTCTCAACAATACATTGGCCTCCTCATGTGTGAAGAAAGACCTTCAATCATCTCTCCATGGCACAAACACACCTGCAGGAAGATATGGAGTCTCAGACAGACTGTTCAGATGTAGAGTTAGGAATGCTGCATCTGTATTTAGCTTCACCTCGTATCTGTCCGCTGGGAAAATCTTTAATCAAACACAAGATGTTTCAGAAGCAATCTCGCAGCCCAGAGCCATCTGCAAACCTCCCCCAATCCTGGGCAGTGGCTGCCTCCCAGTGTCCGGGAAAGGAACTGCACACACTGAAGCAAAAAATAAGTTTCAGTAGCTCAAGCAACAATTTCTGCTTAAAATTTTCCTCTATGCCCTCAAAAACAATGCACTCTTTCTAACACATCAGAAAAAAAAACATAATTCCAACAAGGAAATATTTCCTGTACCTCATATTTATTTGGTGCTTTACAGCTTCTTCCTATTACAGAAAGTAATCCCTTCATAATTATCATTTATGTAGAAAAAGTGGGGAGAAAACCACAAAGGCACTGAAATCCCACTCTCACAGTGAACTATCATGAGAGAAGCTTTCTGAAATAAAAGCTTTTTGAAAGATAACTCAAAAGATTTTGTAGTTTAGGCTTACCATTCATAATATCATCTATTAATCTCTTTAATCTGCCTAACACCAAATACCCTTTGGGTAAGGAAACACTGCTGCAAGTTTAATCCCAGCTGGAGATGTGCCAGCCCCTTGCCCTGCACAGACCAGAATTCTGCCTACATGAGGCCACAGCACAGAGCCTCTTCCAGCAGTGCCAGTCAGGCTCTCTGGGCAGCACCAGCAGGGACAAAAGAGCTCCTATTTCCACTACTCAGATGTCATTAGGCCACACCTGTAAGGCAGCAAGAGCTTCTGGGAATTCACATAAATAAACCACACACTTCCTCTGCCTACTATTTACAATCCAGTTATAAGAAATAAATCTATGTAATGCTGTCCTCTTTCTTCCACACACAGACTGAGTATTTTCTACTACAGGGATCATCAGCATGATGAAGTGAAGGGATATTGGGTCTAAAATTCCAAAGCCTCCCTTTTTTCAGCTAAAAAGAGATCCCCAGTAAATCTCTACATTCATTTCAGCAAAGCTGATCTCACAAATATGATCTTCAAAACAGCATTCCCCTTAAAACTTCTTTTGCTTTCACCAAGGCATTTTTGTTTCTCCAATACACTAAACAGGAAGCTGAGCATAAGGAAAGCAGAGACCTGATGTGAATACACCCATCATTACTCACTTCTCCTGTGATTGGATTGGTTCCATATTTCTTTATCCAAGGAACAATGCTCCTGAAAAAAGAAGGGATAAAGTAATAAGTGACAAACACCATCAGAAACCTCTATTAGATGGGCATTTTCTTATTTTTCTTGCCAACTTGCTAAGACCAAATGATGATTAAACAGCTGTAACCAGCTCAACAACACAAAAATAAAGGTAAATTCAGGCAGTAACTTACAGTATGTCAAAGACTGTCCCATCTGGTGTGCAAACTGGGTATTCAAACGGCTGCAGAGACAAACTAGAAAAGAGAGAACACATTCTTGTCAGCAAAACCAGCTGGAAATCATGGTGACAGAGGCAAATAACACGTTGCTGATTCACTTGCACATTAAAGCAAGACCTATACCAATGAAAATACTGAGTGGCTGCCAATGCCCACTACCTGACTCTACATAAATTAGATTAAGAACAAAATCCATCGGAGGAACTGGTGCTGCCCTCAGGAACCTGTAGCTGCCATCACTCACAGCCACAGAGCCAGGGGATGCTGTAACACCCCCAGACCTGCTTTCATTGCCCTGTTGGGGCTCAGCAGCACAAACGATGGTTCAACAGAAACACTGCCTGTCTTTGCACTGCAGTGGGCTGGGAACAACTGGCAATGACATCCCTAAGCCATGGCAGGGATGCTTCCATAGCCCAGGCAGCTCTTGGCCAAGCAGCAGCAGTTTGCAGATGTGGAAGGTAACTTCTTGAACCAGCCAATTTACAAGAGGATTTCTAACCCAGTTCTGCCAACTCCCTTCTTTCCCTCCAGCACTCTAAACAGTAAATTCTAAACAGAAAAAAATGGCAGAAATATTCCCTCAATCTACCTAATCCCTGCCTCAGCAAGAGGAGTGATTGACCAAGCATGTTCTGAGCAGGGAAAAGTAGACTCAAGCCCTGATTGCACAGATTTGAAAGACTGGAATGTACACAGTCACTGTCCTGCATTATTTTATCACTTATGTATTCTTTCAGCCATCAGCTCCCACCTCTGCAGACACTAAACATGGCAAGTGTAGATATTGTTTCAGTTCTTAATGAAGTTTTTCTTGCCACACTACTGTCCCAGCAGGCAGGAGGCAATGAAAGTAACTGCTTTGGTTCAGTGTCAACAGCCTGATAAACAGATGCATCATTTAATAATGATAATGTAAATCTGTTGTCTTACCTGCAGTGATCAAATGATAAACGTCTAAAATTAGTTCGAGGAAGGTCTGTTCATGGGGAAAGAAAACCCATACAACTGAGTTTAAGAAACACATTGCATTCTAGGTAACAAAGAAACATTTGAAAGTTATGTTTTGCTATGTCAGTGGGCAACTTACTGATGATAACACAGTAAAGCTTGCAAACCTGTAACTCTACCAGACTCCCCTGCCCTACACGGGCATAAAAAGATCGCAACAGAGCCGAGTTTAAATCTGATGGTTAACACCACTCGGGCTCTGCCCCACCAGCGGGCCAGGACTTTTGGAGGGCGGGGACGCTCAGCGGGGACATTTCTGAGCAGCACCGCTGAGCTCTGGGGCTCAGATGTGCTCGGGGAGGGCCCCCCAGCGCCCGCCCAGAGGGACGGGGGGCCCCTCGGCCCCTTACCTGCTTTCTTGCCCCCGTAGAACTGCGTGTACTCGGCGCACGTGATGTACCTGCGGGACAGGGGGCACTGAGGGGCGGCCCAGAGCCCGCCCAGACCCAGACCCAGACCCAGACCCGGCCCAGACCCAGACCCAGACCCGGCCCCGGCCCAGACCCAGCCCCAGCCCCAGACCCGGCCCAGCCCCAGCCCCGGCCCGGCCTCCCGCACCCCCCGGCCCCACCCCAGCTCACATCTTGTCCTTCTGGTGCTGTCTCTTGCCCATGGCGGCGGCTCGGCCCAGCCCGGCCCGCTCCCGGCCCGAGCTCAGCCCGCGCTCCCGGCTCGGCCGCGCTTCCGCCGGTGCAGCGGAACGGCCGCGGAAGGCGCGGAAACTGCGGCGGCGGGCGGAGCGTTCCGGGGCCGCGCCGGGCCGGGGACAGGCTGGGAGAGCCGGGATGGATGTTCGGCCTGGAAAAGGGAAGGAGGCAGCGGAGAACCTTCCAGGGCCTGCAGGGCTACGGGGAACCGGAGAGGGACTCTCCGTCAGGAGCTGCAGTGACAGCACAGGGAGCGATTGGGAACCGAACGGGAAATTCAGGCCGGAGATGAGGGGGGAATTCTTCCCTGGGAGGGTGGGGAGGCCCTGGCACAGGTTGCCCAGAGCAGCTGTGGCTGCCCCAGCCCTGGAAGTGTCCAAGGCCAGGTTGGACGGGGCTTGGAGCGACCTGGTCTGGTGGAAGGTGTCCCTGCCCATGGCAGGGGTGGCACTGGATGGGCTTTAAGGTCCCTTCCAACCCTTAACGTTCTGTGATTCTAAAAAGGCAACTAAAGTTTATGAAGTTGTCTTAATAAAATAAATGGTCACAAGTCTTCCTCCCCTGAAGAAAGTGTGTGTGTCTGAAGTGAGTGCTGTTTGGCACCTCTGAGCTGCCTGCTTTTAAATGTAAAATTCTGCTTCACGTACCCCAGATGAAACTCAGGCACAGGTTACTTCCTCAGCATTTACAGGCCAGGCCAGAGGGCAGTGGGTGCTGCTGGTGGCACTGCAGCCCCCTTTGCACAGTGTGATACAGCCTTAGGTAGAGCCTTCACAGCCCCCTCTGGAAAAGGAAGGTGCTGAACGTAGCAGAAAATGTGAAAATGAACAACGTAAGAAAAATGCTCCTCTTAATTTAAATATTTTATTCCATGGAATTTAAAATCATAGTATTCCTGGTCTGTCAGGCAGTGACAGAATCTCCCAAGAAAAAATAGGGAGAAGAACCTACTTGGTGCCCAGCATGGAGATAGCTCTTCACGAAAAATAGTTCAGCACCTCTTCAAAGACTCGACAACAAAGAAGAATTTACCATCCCTTAGCTAATTACCTTTAAATTCCATTAAATAACCTTCATTATAAGACTGGTATAAACAGCACAAGGCTGAACAGAGGATGGTCAGAATCCCGACACCTTTAGGAGGAGGAAAGAAGCACCTGTGCCAGAGCTTTCACTTATCAAACACCTCCAAACCCAGCCATGCTCATTTGTTTCTTTCTTGTTAAACCATCTTTCTTACAGCTGCCCACACAGAGTCACTGGGAGCCAAACCCATACAGAAGTGACTCCCAGACTCCCACTGACTGCACCAGGCTTTGGACCAGACTGCCCTTCTCTGCAGAACATGGTGCCTTATCCCCTGTTTTAATCCCATCAGTTGGTCCTTGGCTGCACATGTGAACACAAGGTGAACACAGCCTGAAGGTCCTTTCCAGCCCCAACATTCCATGAATGTGTTGTTACAGTTCTCCTCCAAGGAACAGAAGGCTGCTCCCATGAGTGCAGACTAACTGGCAACAGCATAATGAATCACTTACAGCACTGCCACAACTGGCTCTTGCTATTAAACCTTTGGGACTAGAGCTCAGGGGACTTGCTTGGCTTTCCTCATCACCTTCACTTTCCCCACCAGGTACGCACAGCATCAACCTGTGTGGTCACTCCATTTCCAGCTGCTTGCTGGAGACTCACTGATGCCACACTGAATCCCTGCTAAGGCAGTTGGTTTTGTTGCTCTTCAGGACCCTGTCTGTGTTCAGCCTGCACAAGGGCTGTACAACGAAGTAAGCTGGTGTCTGGCAGCTGAAGAGAAGAGGGCACAAAGCCCTGCAAATGAACGGGGTTGTGCCTTAAAGAACACATCCTCCCTCTAGGACCCAGAGAACCACATAACTGCAGAGCTGCCTTTGTGAAAGGGGTTAGTCCCCTTGGCCACAGCAGCACAGCCAGTCTGAGGGTGAAG